GTATGTTCTTTCTCTCTTGAAGCAGTTCTGTATGGCTACAGTAACCAAGACACTGTGGTACTGGGGAGAGACAGCCACACAGATCCACAGACCAGAATAGAGAACCCAGTAAGAAAGCCACAAGGACACGCTTAACTGATTGTTGATGAAGTTGCAAAAGCAATTCAATGGAGGAAGCATAGCCTTTTCACCAAATGATGCCAGAGTCATGTAATATACATAGGGGACAGAAAAAAGAAAGAACGTTAATCTAAATCTCACACCTTAAACAAAAATTAGCTCAAAATGCAACATGAATTTAATGTAAAATATAAAACTTTTAGGGGGAAAAAAAAACAGGAAAATATCTTTGGTGTCTAGGGCTAGGCAAAGAGTTCTCAGGTTGTCATGCTTTTGGTACCAAAAACATGATATATAAAAGGAAAATTTGACACATTGGGCCTCGTTAAAATTTAAAACTTTTGCTTTGTAGAAGAACCTGTTAAGTGGATGAATAGATAATTTACAGATTGGGAGAAAATGTCATAGTAGCTTTATTCATAAAAACCCCAAATTGGAAACAACTAAGATGTTCTTCAGTGCATGAATTATTAAATGAACTGTGGTACATCGATACCACGGAATGCATAAAAGGAATAAAATATTAATATGTGAACTAACTTGGATGCATCACTAGGCAATGATGCCAAGTGAAAAAAGCCAATCGGAAAGGTCACATATTGTATGATTCCATTTATAGAGCATTCTTGCAATGCATTCTTGCAATTTTAGCAATGGAAAATAGATCAGTTTGGGGGAAGGCGGGAGGGAAATAGATGTGACTATAAAAAGACGACAGGAGGGATCCTTGCAGTGATGGAATTGTTTTGTGGCTTGACTGTACTGATTTTGAGATCCTGGCTGTGATATTGTACTATGGTTTTTCAAGAGTTTACTGTTTGGAGTATCTGGGCAAAGCATTCATGGGATTTCCCTGTCTTATATCTTGCACATAAACCTACAATTATCTGGAAAGAAACAGTTTAATTTAAAAATTTTTTAATAAAGCCAGAAAAAGTCTAAATAGAGGTAACATGTATCAGTTTTGACTAGAGAATATCTAAAAGCCTCTCTGCAAAATTTAAAATACAAAAATAAACTAAAAAAAAGTCACAATATGTATATCAGAACTGATTTCTGTAGAAGCAAAGAGAGTTTCCGAAAAATAGGAAGAATTCATATCTCTCACGAGAAAGACATACGCAAAGAATATAAATAGAAAGTTTACAAAATAAGAAATGCAAATATCCAATACTTATATGGAAAGAGTTTAATCTCAGTAGAATTAATTAAAACAAAACAGGAATCTATTGTTAACCAGCCAGATGAACCCTGAGCATTTAAAACGGCAGTGATGAGTTTCAACAGTGAGGTTCAATGGCATGAGTGTAGTGCATTTCTGGAGGCCAGCTTGCCAGTATTTCCCTGGGTTCATAAAACATCATTCATTTAGCCAGTGTCATAAGTCAGGAACTTCATCTTCAGTTATCAGAAATGAAACAAAGTTTTACTTGTGAAGGTATTTATCACACCATTGATTATTACAACAAAGAACAGGAAGCAACATCGATGCCTCAAGGTAAGATAAACAGGGATGTATCTGCATATTGTAGGCATAAATATTCCATTTTGGAAGAATAATTAATGACCTGGTAAAATGCTCACAATATATTATGAAGAATAAAAGTTAGGACACAGTGTGATTAAAAAGTTTTGTTAAAAAATAAATATGTATCACATAGTAGGCAGGGAAATGTAAGAAAACACACCAAATTATGATCAGTGGTTATTTTTGGGTAGTAAAATTATAGATTATTTTTATATTTTATTCTTTTACATAATTTCCATTAAATACATATCTACATGATCAGAAAAATGATTATTTTTTAAAATACAGCAGGAAGTTAACATTTTGTACTGTATATCATAGAAAGCCACCTTTATAGAAAGAAATTTTTAAGTGAGTTAGATAAAAGTCAAATTTGTGCATTTGTGATTGCAAATTAAGCACTTCATGCAAATAAGGGCCCTACAACAATTAGATGACCACACCCTGGGAAAACTGTTCTGATTTCACACAGCAAGGACGTTGCAAGAAGGATGGTCAGAGCTAGAAGAACTGGAACCATGCCAAAACAAGGCACAGCTTTTACCGCTGACCACAGAGACATTCTCTCTCCATCCAAGAAGATGGATGCGATCCATAAGGCCAGGGGCTAACAAGCTTTTGAGGAGACAACCAGCAGTCTTGCCCAAGCTTTCTGAGGCCACCAAGTTCCTGAACGTTATCCTCACGGTTCACCGCTGTAACTGCAGTCACACTCGCACAGAGTTATACTCACTGCATACCAAATGCAAGGCCTACATGAAAAGTTCAGGGCACACATGCATCACCCAGTGGAGCTGAACCTCACGTGTCCTGGGTGTTGTGGACACCAACCCTTTCAGTTGGGCAGATTCCCTGGTCATTATTCCAGAGTGACACTGGGGGAAAGACCAGACTTGGGTGTATTGCTACCCTAAATTTTTTCATAATATTAATACCAGGCCTCCCATGCCTACCTGTGAGACCAACCAGTGTTGCAACGTGGCCATGAGGTCTTTCTACTCTCTGAAATCCAGCCTATCGGTCCCCAGAAAATAGAGGGGCCAGTGTTTCACAGGCTTGGCCAAACAAAGAGATCAAAGGCATATGAATGACGAAGAGCCTTCCAGCTCTGCAGGAATTCGAGGTCTGGCCCAAATGAGAGGGTGCTGGAATTGTGGGGCCCAAGACTGTGTCTCCTGTTGCCACTTGTCTCTGACCTCCTTCCTTGGCTGTGTCCTGGGTCTGGACCCTCACTGACTATGGGGCAGTGTGAGGTGGGCCATCCTCAAGGCCACTGCTGCTACATTTGCTATGATGGCTGCTGTTCTCAATAAGAGAATTCTTGTTTAAGTGATGAAATTATTCTTTCTATACTCAGCAGAGGCAGATAAGAGTCTAAACAGGAAGAAGTTGGTCAAGCATCAAGTTTTGAACCTTGTGCCTTAGCAGCAGGGACAGCAAAGTGCCCAGGGTCCTGCCGGGAGACGCACATTCAGCATCCTTTGTGGCTCCTTGACCATCCAAATGCCTTTTCCCACATTCAAGCTGCCCAGGAGTGTCATTTGAATTAATGTCTCAGAAAAATTACCAAGTATTACTACTTTCTTATGAACTCTGGAAACAGCCAATATAATAAGTCTGACAAAAGTCGAAATTCTGTTATACACAAGAAACTGCTATTGGTCCTCCCCTGGGTATGACGGCCAGCATTCTGTTCCCAAGCCCAGCCCCAGGCAATAGTGCCTGAGGCAGGGATCACTGCCTCCACAGGCTGCAGGACCCTCTGCCACTCAGCCAGCACTGAAGTCACAAATCTGTACCCAAGGCTGGTTCTGAGAACCATCACTGTGCAGAGTTTACAAAGAACTTCCATAGAAATCTTGCTCAACACCTTTAGAATGAAGTTCATTTTGATAGCACCATTTTACAGGGGCTACCAACTTTCATTCTGCCCACTCACCTGCTTGCAATGTGCAGTTATGCCGTATAAACAGGGGCACGCAGGCAATCAGGACCCCAGAGTGGACCCAGCCCCCCCAGAGCAAGGTCTCCTTTGCAGGCACCAGAAGCAGATGAGAGTCTAAACAGGAAGAAGTTTCTTGAGCATGCTCCCGGACCATGCACCCGGCCTCTGTACACCCCTTGAGACGTGCCTACACAGGGAAACTTGGAACACCCACTCCCATGCCACCCCCAGCACGACCTTCCAGCTCTAGTCTGCAGTATCTCAGGGTCCTTGCTAGCAGGGACTTTTTTCTGCTGTGCAGTCCAGTAGGGGGATGGCAGCCTCTTGTTATGTACCATCTTCATGGACAGCCAAGGCACAAGCCCCCATTGGAATTTTCAAAAACGTAGCAACCTGAAATACCTGGCAAGCCCACAACCTTTTCCTGACCTCCTGACTCAACCTAAATCATCCAGAACATCTGAATCATCGTCAGTGTTACATCTAATCCCAGCAATACATTTTTAATGTGTTTTTTTTTCTTTGCTAACCTCACCTGTACCAAAGTCTCTCTAATTGCTAAAACATGCTTATCCTTATGTTTTAACAGTTTGCATTGGGCATTGATTTTTTTTTTTTAATTAAGTAAGCTTAGGAACTGGATAAACAGAAATTTTAAATGTGTTTTAAAAGTACCTGAAAAATTCCATGAAAGAGAATCCATATCCATGCTGCTCTGCTATCCCCGCACAAACGACGTTTGCTGAGGCTCCAATCAGGGTCCCATTACCTAAAATCAAAATTTAAAAAATAAAGTCCCAGTTTATCTTGGTGGTAAGCTTCTGTTCTCCTTTGTTCCATAATATGTGGGTCATTGCACAGACTTAGATTTGATGATACTTTATAGGCACTACCAAAGTGATTGCTTTGCAAATATATGGAAACACACACACACACACACACACACACACAAACCAGAAAATAAACTCACTGCCTGTAAATACCATGATTCATTTATGGATAAGACTACGCTGATCTGTGTGACAGAGAAGAGATGAAATGCTAAAGAGAGTGGGCAAGATGACGTGGGATCAGGTGGCATGTATTTATTAGAGGAAAACACAAGCAGGGCCAACACCAAAGGTGAGAACGTATGTCCCTCAGAGTAGTGGAATCAACTCTCAGATGAGAAACACCTTCCTCAGGACTCCAGGCCTAGACACCTACCAGGAAACCCTTCCAGTGGATGAAAGGATGGATAAAACAACCAGGCAAAAACACTTGACATGGCATTATTCACCAAAGGCACTCCTCACATAAAACACTCCCTGGGTAGCCTCTTTTGACTGTGCGCACACATACACGTGTGGCCCTCGTGGCCTGGATGAGGAATGGGCCAGAGCCAGCCAATCGGGTCCTTACCCCATGCACACTCTCACACACACCCAGGGAAAGGTAAATTTGTGTGGCCAAGCCAACAATCCTCCTCCATCCCTCTGTGCCATGGTTGTCAGTGTTTGGGAACGGTCACATGACCCAGGCTCAGTGCAGCTCAGTCCTGACATCTGTACATGAACTGTTAAGGAAGAGAGACACTCTCTCTGTCTCTCTCTCTCTGTCTCTCTCTCTCTGTCTCTCTCTATCTGTCTCTCTCTCTCTCTGTCTGTCTCTCTCTCTCTCTCTCTCTCTCTCTCTCTCTCACTCTCTCGGCTTGGTGAACTGTGAGACACTGATCTGGAGCTGCCCACAGAGTGTCAGCACAGGAGAAGTACCTAAATAACAGAGCAGGAGGACAACCATGTCCCCATGAAGAAATGACAGCGCAGAGAGGCTGAGTGGCATGCCCAGGTGTCAGGGCTGGGAAGCCACAGCTCTGAACTTGAACTAGGGCTTCGTCCTGAGTCCAGAGGAAGATCAGCAAGGGACAGGACTCACACCTCCACAAGGGAAAATACACCTCAGTGCCAGGACAGCGTCCACCCTGTAACCCCAAACACTCCCAACTCCAGGACTTCACGAGAGGAGCCCAACACATGATCCAAGTCCACTTTCAGCAACCTATGTGACTCTAAAAATAAAAGGCAGCACTTCTCTTCTCTCCTATTAAGGATTAATGATTGAAAAAATATCCTTTCTCCAGTTAAAATGATGGTGACTTTGCAGGCAGGCACTGTCCAGCAGTGGGTATGAATCCTGATTCATGATGGACCACATGTCAAAAAATAGAAGGATCTTTCCATTTCCTTCCGCACGTTGTCGAGGTGAACTGGCCCAACAGGCTGTTTTATTTCTGATCACTTCTGGATTCGGGGAAGGGAATGGGGAGATGTTCCAGGATCTGAGGGTAGGGGTGACAGCTTAGTCTCCTGGCCACAGGCCGACTTGGACCTGCAGGAGGAAGGCTGGCTGAGGATGGGGGCAGAATGAGGCCCAGCTCTTTCCTTGGAGAGGGAGATGGGACTGAGAAACCAGTGAGGACAGGGCTAGCTATGCCACATGGGCAACTGCCCAGTCTCCATGCATTGCACTTCTACACACCTGTTCAGGACTGTAGCAGGGATGACACTGCAGGGGTCGCTCTCCCCCAGAAGTCCTCCTGCACCAGGACATGTCCTCATAGCCTGCCCTCCCTCGTGCAGCCCCACCTTCTCAGCCATCCCCCTTGCTGGAGTCCTTCAGCCTCCTCACGGCCTCCTCACAGCCTCATAGACTGGGAGGTAGGACATTAACTTGTTAAGCCTCACTGAGCTCTGTTTCTTTTAAGCATGCTTTCTGTAGCAGGCGGCAGAAACTGGACTCCCAGCAACTTAAACACACGAGGAGATAATCTCTCCCAGAGTGCCGGCAAGGCTCAGTCCTGTGTCTCCTAGTGCCAAGCAGGCCTCTCCCTCTCATCAGAGGATGGTTTCATGGCCACATCGAAGGCAGGAAGGCACAGAGGAGAATGACACCAATGCATTTTTTCAAGAAAGCAAAAGCTATGTCTAAAGGCTCCCAAATGGACGTCCTTGTGTCTTTATTGATCAGCAAAGTGAGACACGCAAGGCAACGTGCTACCAAAGTAGGCACAGCAGACGGAAGCAACCGAGAGTGGGAGGGGGCTGAGTCAGCCCCTGCAGATCCTGCTCAAACGTACTAGAAATAGGATTTGCCCATCAGTGTGACAGAAAGAATGCTGGATTCAGATTCACAAAACCTCAGTTGAAGTCTCAAATCTTCTAAGCTTTGTAACGTGAGCAAATCGCTGATCATTTCTGTGATACTAAGATGTGCTGAGTTGTAAGGAAAGGAAGACCTAAAACAAGATGATGTCAGCAACAGGGACAGCTTATCTCCTGGGTGACAGGCAGTCAGTGGTGGAGCAAGTCCAGAAGCATCTGCTATAGGGTTCAGTGGTGCCACCGGGACCAGTCACCTCCCACTTTGTGCTCCGCCACTGTCAACAGCATGCAGAGTTGGCCCCACACGCAGGCATCACATCACCTCTCCGCTGGACACAACAGTGTCATGTTCAAAGAAGGAGCAGGACCGCCATCTCTCTCCTGAGGTTTGTTCTCAGGACCAGGAAAAATAATTACCAGAAGCCCCTCCCATCCCACAGATGACCCTCCTAAAGTCTCCTTGACTCCACATGGCCCTGGCCTGCCTGCCCCCATGCAAGCCCCTGGCAGGGACAGGGCTGCACCTGCCTGTCCCTGGCTATCGTCAGCAGCAGGAAAGAGATGTGCGGGCAGCTCCATCTGTGTTAAGTGAGGACCGTCGCCACCTTCCCTGAGCATCTCAGGGGTAGTTGTGGGGTTCACACAACATTAAGAGTGCGAGCGTACTACAGATGTCAACAGTTGTTGCAGTAGCAAGATGCTAGCAGGGTTTGATGGTGCCCCATAGGGTATGGGGCTCCACGTGATGGGGAGAACGCCAGGTGTCACTACCCCACCCCAAGCCTCCTTCCTGGGCTCAATTTACCAAGAAGTCCATGGGGTTGGGTGTGCATATGAACAGCTCTGCCTGTCTTGGCACACCCATGTTATCCTGCCTGGAAAGATGACCGAGAGGCAGAATGAGAACAGTGTTTAAAACTATTCCTGGCTCTGTTTTTGATGAGCACTGCACACAGAGAATCTCTAGCCTGTCTTCCTGCATCAGCCAGTGCAAGTTGGATTAACCAGCCCAGGGTCTCAGACCAGTGATAATTTTCCACTTGGGAGAAAGCACAAAAATTAACTCAACAGACTGGCATTCCCTATGGCAAGCTGAGGAGCCACCAGTCCTTCAAGACAAGAATGTGACCTAAGGAAGGCAGCAGGTTTCAACACAGCCGCGTGCTGCCCAGATTGTCTACAACCTCCAGGCAACTATGGCGAGGAAGCCGCCTTCCTCCTCATTTTCTCTGCGTTCACTATACCGTCTCCCCTCAGTCTTTCTGCCCTCAGATTGCACCTACCAATGAAGCCTGAGCATGGAAACTTGCCTCAGCCTCTGCTTTCCAGAAAACTCAATACTAAGGCAGATTTTTCTGAAGACTTATTTGAATTATTCTCAGCTCTTAGTAAAAAGGGCAATCAAAATGTACTGGGGTCAGACCAGTAAAAAACTGTTTCGTTTCAAACTATCTAGTGAATCACCCCCAATTTATATATTATAGCAAATGACATTTCTAAAACTGGCTGCAAAATTTCTATTTAAAGTATTCTTCGAAATGCCAAAGCTGGGGGAATGGGAAGTTACTGTTTCATGGGTCTGGAGTTTCAGTTTGGGAAGATAAAAAGTGGAGATGGATGGTGGTGATGGTTACACAACAATGTGAATGTACCTAATGCCACAGAGCTGTACACTTAAAAATGGTTAAGATGGGAAATTTTATGTCATGTATATTTTGCCACATTTTTTAAAAATGCCAAACCATGAGTCAATGAGAGAGGAATCCCTCATGGAATAAGTGTAGAGGTAACACCCAGCACAAGGGAGCATCTGCTATGCCAGGACCAAGCGCCTTTCAATGACCAGAGCTACTAGGTTAAAAAGAGCCCAAGAATAAGCCTGGTGCAGTGGCTCATACCTGTAATCCCAATGCATGGGGAAGCCTAGGTGAGAGGATCACTTGAGGCCAGGAGTTCAAGACCAGCCTGAGCGAGAGTAAGACTCCCATCTCTACAAAAAATTTAAAAAATTAGCCAGATGTCATGGCACGTGACTGTAGTTCCAGTTGCTCAGGAGGCTGAGGCAGGAGGATGGCTTGAGCCCAGGAGTTCAAGGCTGCAGTGAGCCATGATTGTACCACTGCACCCCAGCCTGGGTGACAGGGTGAGACCCTGTCTCTAAAATAAAAAATAAAAGTTTAAAAAAAAGAGCTTACGACTTTAAACCTTTATTATTTGTTACAGCTATATCCCTGCTTCCAAAACGTGCTCAGTCAATAAGTGTTTAATCCTATTTTAGGTATTAGCCTATAAATGGTCCACGTTAACGTCTCTCCTTGAGAAATCCCCTCCACATTCATCTGTCCTACATGTTTTGGGGGAATCAGAACTCGTGAAGAGGGATCTCACTCTTTAAGACCCTGCTCAAAACTTTCCTTCCTAGAGAACCTCTTCTGACGGTGCCTCCAGTCACTCCGTGGTGCTCCCGAGCACCTGAGTGCACGCCGGTTACAGGCAGTGTCCATCTGTGCCACAGCCCAGCACAGGGGACCTTCTTTCCCTCTCAACAACAGGGGATGCACTCATGGTCTAGCACAATGTCAGCTTACAGCAGATACTCAGCAAGTTGGAATGAACAAAATCCCTCACAGGGGATTCATTTCCAGGTGTGCTTAGATTCCGTTTCTTACTGTTGATGTTAAATGTAGCTCTGAATGGAGTTATTGCTGTTCCTGGGGCTGGTACTTAGATGGGAGCGATTTTAACAGTTCTACACTCTCATAAGAACTCAAGGCCTCAGTCCCTGACTTAGATGAATTGGCTGTCTCCAGAAATCAAAGAAACTTCACTGGATAACATTAATCCCCCTTCACAACCAAGGAGATAAACTAACCAGAAAGTTATTGATTTAATAGTCAAAGATCAATCAAAGAACAAAGAAAGCTGGATTATCTAAGCATGCCTGGATGTA